TGGCCACTTTTGCTACTCTTATTTAACATAGTACTGGAAGTCTTAGCCACCGCAATCAGACAGAAAAAAATAAAAGGGATTCAAATTGGAAAGGAGGAAGTGAAACTGTCATTATTAGCAGATGACATGTTACTATACATGGAAAACCCCAAAAACTTCATCAAAAATTTACTAGACTTAATAAATGAATTTGGCAAAGTAGCAGGATACAAAATTAACATCAAGAAATTGACAGCATTCTTATACACCAATGTTGATCTCACAGAACGAGAAACTAAAAAAAAAAAACAATCCTATTTAACATCATGGCAAAAAAATTAAGATACCTAGGAATAAACTTAATCAAAGAATTAAAGGACTTATTCGCAGAAAACTACAGGTCATTGAAAAAAGAAATAGAGGAAGATATAAAAAAGTGGAAGCACATACTTTTTTCATGGATTGGAAGAATTAACTTCATTGAAATGTCCATACTACCCAAAGCAATCTATAGATTCAATACAATCCCCATCAAAATACCGATGACATACTTCACAGAACTAGAAGAAATACTTCAAAAGGTCATATGGAACCAAAAACGACCTCAAATAGCCACAGAAATCTTCAGAAAGAAGAACAAAGTTGAAGGGATCACATTATCAGATTTCAGGTTACACTACAAAGCCACTGTAATCAAAACAGACTGGTACTGGCACAGGAACAGGCATATAGACCAGTGGAACAGAACAGAGAACCCAGAAATAGACACAAGGCAATATGCTCAATTAATATTTGACAAAGGTGGCAAGAGCATACAGTGGAGTAAAGACAGCTTATTTAATAAATGGTGTTGGGAAAATTGGACAGCTACATGAAAAAAAAAAAAACATGAAACTAGACCATCAACTTACACCACACACAAGAATAAACTCAAAATGGATAAAAGACTTAAATGTAACTCATGAATCTATAAAAATCCTAGAAGAAACTGTAGGCAACACAATTTCAGACATCATACGCAGCAGAATTTTCACTGATACATCACCTAAGGCAATAGAAACAAAGGAAAAAATGAACCCATGGGACTACATCAAACTCAAAAGCTTCTGCACAGAAAAAGATGCAATCATTAAAATGGAAAGGCAACCCACTGTATGGGAGAGCATAATTGCCAATGATATATCAGATAAGGGTTTAATTTCCAATATATATAGAGTGCTCATACAACTCAACAAAAGGAAGACAAAGAACCCAATTAAAAAATGGGCAGAGGAACTAAATAGACACCTCTCCAAACAGGACATATAAATGGCTAAGAGACATATGAAGAAATACCCAACTTCACTAATCATCAGAGAGATGCAAATTAAAACAGCAATGAGGTATCACCTCACACCTGTCAGAATGGCCACCATCAACAAATCATCAAACAACAAGTGCTGGTAAGGGTGTGGAGAAAAGGGGACTCTAATACACTGCTGGTGGGAATGCAGACTGGTGCAGCCACTATGGAAAACAATATGGTGTTACCTCAAAAAATTAAAAACTGATCTTCCATTTGATCCAGTGATCCCACTTCTAGGAATATACCTTAAGAAGCCTGAAACACCAATCAGAAAGAATATATGTACCCCCATGATTGTAGCAGTGCTATTTACAATAGCTAAGATCTGGAAACAGCCCAAATGTCCATCAGTAGATGAATGGATAAACAAGCTGTGGTACATACACAAAATGGAGTACTATGCAGCTTTAAGAAAGAAAGATCTCTTATTCTTTGAGATGACATGAAGGGACCTGGAAAGTATTATCCTGAATGAAACAAGCCAAACAGAGAAAGACAAGTATCATATGATCTCACTTATTTGTGGAAATTAATGAACATAACAGTCTGAGGAATGGGGTGGTCCCAGAGACAGGGAAGTGGGGTACAGACTGACAATCCCCAGAAGAGGGGATGGTGGGGGAGAGATAAACCACAGAACTTATATACATGTATGCATGTATTATGGACATGGACAACAAAGCTGAGGATGGCGGGGAGGGCGAGGGAGGGGGCAATCAGTGGGGGAGGGGAGGAGAAACTGTAAGAAAAATAAATGATTAAAAACTAAATAAATATAAAAGTGGTTTTCAACATTCCTAATGCTGAAACCCGTTAATAGTGTTCCTCATGTTGTGATGACCCCCAACCATAAAATTATTTTGCTACTTTGTAACTGTAATTTTTCTACTGTTATGTCTTAGGCGAACCCTGTGAAAGGGGGTTGCAACCCACAGGTTGAGAACCACTGATCTATAGTTTTCTTTTCTAGTAGTGTCCTTTTCTGGCTTTGGTATCAGGATAATGCTGCCTCATAAAAGTGAGTTCGGGAGTGTTCCTTTCTCTTTGATATTTTGGAGGACTTTCTCTGAGAAAGATTGATGTTAATTTTTAAATGTTTGGTAAAACTCATCTGACCATGGACTTCTCTTTTTTTGGGGGGGGGGTGTTGTTTATTTTATTTTATTTTATTTTATGTTTTTATTATTTTATTTTTGTTACAGATGTTTCTCCTTTTTTTCCCCATTGACTCCTTCCCCCAATTCCCCCATCCCGTCCCAGGCTTTGTTGTCCGTGTCCATTGATTATGCATACATGCATATAAGTTTTGTTGTTTATCTCTTCCCACCCCCCGCCACCCCCTCTTCTGGGGATTGTCAGTCTGTACCCTACTTTCATGTCTCTGGGTCTACCCTAATCCTCAGACTGTTATGTTCATTATATTCCACAATGGACTTCTCTTTGTTGGGAGATTTTTTTTATTACGGATTCAATCTTTTTACTAGTAATTGGTCTATGCAGATTTTATATTTCTTTATGATTTAGTCTTGGTAGGTCGCATGTTTCCAATAATTTTTCGATTTCTTCTAGTTGTCCAGTTTGTTTGCTTGTTTGTTTTGGCGTATAGCTGTTTACACTAGCCTCTTATGATCATTTGTATTTCTGTGGTATGAGTTATATTGTTTTTTTTTTTTTCATATGTAATTTTGTTGATTTGGGTCTTGTCTCTTTTTTTTCTTGATTAGTCTAGCAAAGGGTTTGTCAATTTTGTTTACCTTTTCAGCAAACCAACTCTTACATTGATTACTTTTTTTCTATTTTTCTGTTATCTATTTTATTTCTTCCTGCTCTAGATGTTATTATTTCCTTTCTTCTGCTAACTTTGAACTCAGTTTTTTCTTTTTATTCTAGAAACTTAAGGTATAGAGTTAGATTATCTTTTTGAAACCTTTTTTAATTTCTTAATGTAGACATTTATTGCTATGAACTTCTCTCTGAGAACTGCTTTTGCTGCATCCTATAAGTTATGGGTTTGTTGTGTTTCTATTTTCATTTGAGTCAATAAACTTTTATTTCCCCTTTAATCTCTTTTTCTGGTCAGGTGGGGCTGGGAGACACTCTCCACAGTGGGTATGGCTCTGTTTCAGTTCCCTTGCTTGGACAGGACTGGGAGGGGCCACTCTAGGCCTCTTCTACTTTTTTCCAAACAAGCTTTCTATTTGGAATGTGCTGGGAACTACCCTCAACCTTGGCTATGAATTAATCCCCTTGCTTGAGTGTAGCAGGAAAGCCCCCCTACCATGGCAAATATTGGCTTTTCTCTGGGGGCAGTCAGCTCTTCCCATCTCCCAGCTGGAGCACTATAGGCACCCAGCTTCCGGGTTCTCTCTCCAGCTCATCTGACCAGGAGACATTCTCCTCTATGGGTGGATCTATGACTCAGCCCCTTGACTGAATGTGTGCAAACCAGGCTCTAAGGCCAGCAAAACTCCTCCTTTGAGAACCCAAATCAAGCAAATAAGCATCCCAGTGCATTCCCTGGTCAGAGTGCTGGGCTCTGTTTTCCCACTGGAGGAACCTGAGACTCAGGAGACCTTTCTGCATGGTACTGCACTGGCCTGTGGTGAAGCAATACAGTCACTGTGTAGGCAGTTCTCTTAACCATCTAATGCAGACTCTCTTTGTTTCTGTGGTGTGTGGGGGTGCTTCAGCCTCCTACCTGTGTCTTAGGATTTTCTCAGTTGGTGTTTTGTTCATAAATGTCTGTTTGTTGTTCTTCTAGTGAGGGGAGGTGAAGTCACAAATGACCTACATTGCCTTCTTAGTGATATCAGTCTCCCCATAGTGGACTTCTTGGGGAAAGGTATTTTTTCATGTGGTCAACTTACCTAAAAATGTTCCCCACACTAAAACAAAAACAACTGAAAATGTAAACAAACACCAGGTACTTATTCTATTTATGTAATTAATTGCCTTTGTCAACAAAATCCATAAAGATAACTTTTAAAGTGAGAATACATTTCACTGATTTTCTCTGCTGTTTTTAAACACTTGTATACAGAAACACAAAAGTTAACATTTTATGTTAATTGTTAATGTTTCAAACTAGAGATCAGCCATTAGATGGTGTTCAGCATTAGTTGAGTTATGTACCATTTAATGTTCTATTTAAGTATAATAAAGCACAAAATAGCATTTGCCTTGTTAAGTTATGACAATGTAACGATTATATTAACAAGACTAGTTGGACCTCTGAGAGTCTAATGGCATTTAACCAATCTTCTTTTGATCTCTAATCTCCTTTGTAAAGGTTGCAAATTTAAGTAAATATACATATATATGTATATATTATATTAATAGACATGAGGTATTATATATACTATTCCATTGACTAATATTCTAATATGATTCATATATTCTTTATATATAACATTTTATATATAGTACCATTTATATGTATACAGTATATTAAGACCTATGAAATATTATATATACTGTACCATTGACTCATATTTCTTAATCTCATTTTATACAATGAAATAGTAATAGTGAGTCTTATAAACTTAAATTTCAATATCTGTATCACAACTGATTCTGTCATTATCATTTTGCTATAGCAAGGTCTTATCATTGTGTTATCTTAAATTATGGTGATGATAACCGTATGTATATAGAAATTGAAATGCATGATACATACGAAGAGTGGCTTCATGTGCGTGGTTGAAGAATACTTGTTCCCATAATTTGCTTCATGTTTAGCTGGTTCCAGAGAGCCATTCCAATTATAAGATGGATAGATGTGATGATTATCTTCTCTGGGTTTATGAAGCATACAGCTATTTTAAATGAAAAAATGAACACAAAATATTTTAGTATATTTATAAATTTTTTATATTAACCCCTTATCAGATGCATTGGCGAATATGTTATTTTATTCAGTGGCTTGTCTTTACATTTTGCTGTGCAAAAACTTTTTAGTTTGATGTACTTCCATTTGTTTAGTTTTTCTTTTGTTTCCCTGGCCCAAGGATACTTAAAAAATAAAAATAAAAAACTCACATAGTGTTGACTTATGATGAAATAAATTCTTATCACTATATTCTATAGGAAGTAAATAAGTGAAATCATATAAACATCCAGAAGCCACATTAGATTGATATAGTAGATATAATAAAATAATGACATCTCATAATACAAAAAAAATTCTCTTTTTATTCTATTTTTCACTAAAATTAGGGGTTTTGTTGGGGAATATTTGCTATGTTCCTTTGCAGAATATCTGAGAAATTACTATGATACTTAGATAAATGAAGGAAGCACAATTTTAAAATATTACAGATTAATTTTGGTCAGTGCTGACTTTTTCTTAGGAAATGTGTTAAAGAATTATCTTCTACTCTGGCATGAACACAAATATGTATTCATAGTTATCTCTTACTATACTCTTTCCTCTCTACAACCCCCCTTCCTACTAGAAAACAAATACATAAAACTCTCTACTAAAATTCTTTCTAAATAAAACCCTATTTATTTTTTTAGTATTTATGAGCTTTCACCTTCCTTTTTAAGAGATAGCTTACTTGTAATTTCTTTCAGCGAATTGTGGTGGTGGTGATGAAGGACTTGTAGGACGGACATTTTGAAGTGATAAGGTCCTGGGGTTCTGCACATAGATTTTTTTAAGGAAAAGAGAAAACAGTTAGCCATGATTTTAAAGAAAATTTGAAATACAATAGCTCACATTGATTTTTGTATATTAAATATCTCAATGTCAAGGTATCTCCAGGACTGATCTAAAAAAAATGACAAAGGTATTGCTAAAAGGCAAATGCTTTTATATTTTAGTGATACCTTAGCAAGTCTCTATCATCTATCTATCTATCTATCTATCTATCTATCTATCTATCTATCTATCTATCTATGATCTATCTATGTATCTATCTATGTATCTATGTATCTATCATCTATCATCTATCTATCTATCTATCTATCTATCTATCTATCTATCTATCTATCTATCTATCTATCATCTATCTATCTATCATCATCTATCTACCTGTCATCTATCTACCTACCTACCGACCTACCTACTTACCTACAATGGAGAATGGCTTACTGAAGGAGAAATGCAAATGGAAGATTCATTTCACCTGCAACTCTAAGCCTTAAGTGACCCTTCCAGCCCAAAAGTTTAAATACAGACTCCACTTCCTATTGTCACTATGTGTAAAACACTTATCCCCAGAGAAAATACAGTTCACAAAGTAACTCAGATACAGAATACATAAGGTAAATATAGAGAGCTTTATCATTAAACAGTGATGGTATAGTGCAGAGAGTTTTGGAGGGAAGTTAATACATATGAATCAATTGATAAAGACTTGGTACTTAAACTCTATACTTTAAGTGTATAAGCAAAAAGTAAATTGTAGTAAATGAGCATTGAAGCAAGAAATTGGCATTTTGACACACACTTGAAGCATATAACAGTGGATCCAGACCAGATCTACCCAGAGTTTATTCTTATAGCCACACTGGTTATAGGTGGGTACGTACATTGCGGTATGGCCATTTTGATGGAGTTATATTGAAATCAAGGATATTTTTAACTAGCTACTTTGATAGATATATTTTGACATTGGAAAATGTGATACAGACTATATAATAATCCTTTGTACTTTGATTTAAAAAAATAAATAACATATGAAATATACACCATGACTCATCCTAAAGTTCTAGCTCATGGCCACAACTACCCATAAGGGGTGGTTAATATTCAATTGGAAATAATATTAAAGGTCAGATAAAGATTATATATCATCTAAAAAGACAAACTAATACAAACAAGAAGAATGAGACAGACCTTAGTCCTCTGTTGTTTAAATAGCTTTTTTTTCGCGTTGGGCTTTCTTTTTCTGCTTGTTTTTTATAATCTTCTTTACAATTAAACAAAAAACCAAGAGAAAACATAGAAAGAAAACCATTATTCCTGAAAGAGTATTTTCAGTAAGTAACCTTGTAAAGAAAGCTTCCCTCTGATTTTTGCTCCCTGATGTCATAATGGACAGAGTCAAGGGTACCTGAACACTCTGTCATCAGGTCTTAAAGGGCCCAGACCTTTTTCTCTGGCATTCAATAAAATAGTATACCTGATATGACTAAAAGATGCCTATCTATAATTTGGATTTGGGGGCCATAACCCAGATTCTCTAGCTTCAACAGTATTGATATATTGGGAAGAAGGATCCCATAGGAAATTGGGGGGGGGGTCTCAGCATGTAAAGAATCTGTTTTTTACCTTTTATTTTTCCAGCTTTAGCCTAATTTAAACTCATTAATCTATACCCAACCCTTGATTTCAACTAGGTAGATGTATACAAGTGTTTCAGGCAGAACCTCAGAGTAGAAAATTATACAGTAAAAGGCAGGGCCAGACTAACACGGTGATTTTTTTTTTTTTGACATCAGGCCCTACTAGTAGTGGTGATAGTAGTGTGGCACTCTACTGGTATGAGCACATGGGGATCAAGAAAAATGGCAGCTAGCCACTGAAGCCAGTTTTTTCCAGAGTTAGTGGATATTTCAGACCCTTGAAGTATAGTTAGCATATAATTTATCATCCAAACAAGAACACTTATGAGTGTGATGGGGGTACTATTAATGTTTACATTGGAACAACCAACAGAAAGTGGGACTATCCTGGTCACCCTATTTTGAAATCACCATTGTTGGACCCAAAGATGAGCATCCCCTTGTTTTTTAGAAACACAGTCAATATGGCTTCTAATTTCTGTATCAAAGGAAATACCTCTTTCATGTCTCATTTTAAAAAAACATTGAAAAACCCTATTTGGTGTTACATAGGCACAATCATTGATTTCATTATTCACCAACCACAGTGAGGTTGACACTGTGAGAGTGTGGGACAGATGTGTTCAGTATAGCATTAAACCATGGTTCAGCTCCACAGTTTCAAAGGATAAAATAATAAACATGTGGAGGGGGCCATCAGGTCATGATAAGCATGGTAAAGTGAGCAGATTCACATTTAACGCATGATCAGTGAGTAAAACATCTGAGGGTTGGAAAAGTAAAGAACTGAAAAGAAGTTGCTTGAACTCTGATGAAACTCCAAAGAGTAAAAACATTGTATGCAGAGAGACACATAGGTCCATCTAATCTATCTCAGATAGCCTGACTAGGTGCTCCATATATTGGATGTCACAGACAAAGTGGCTGTCCTATTCATTCTCTTTTCCAATGCCAATAAGGTTTTACTAATTATTACAGATTAAGGCTCTATCTATGACAGCAATACCCAGAACCAGGAATAGATTACACCAAGGAGGATTTGATCTGAGTTTCTCAGATGAATTTCAGGTTTTAAAATGCATGATTAAAAAAACCTCCAGAGAGAGTGAGCGAGTCTGTGAGAGAGTGTGAGTGGATATGAAGATGGACAACCAAACCCGAGCGGTGCAGAGACATGGAGCAGAAGGTTCCTGTGCTGTGGACGGGAGCAGCCTGCTACCTGGGTAAGCTGCCCTTCAGGGCACTTCCCTCTGCACCCAGGGGAGGTCCCACAATTTTGGAAGATCCCAGGTCTTCCCTGGGAGGAGGCAGTGGGAGCTTCTAGAGGCAGTGGGAGCTCTAGGGCACAACAACCTGAGCCCACAAGCACACCTGGCACCATCTGACAAGTAGACACTCTGTGTCAACACAGACCGGTGCACAGTAGTGGAGCTCCCAAGGTGCCTGTCACAGAAGCTGCAGACAGCCCAGAGCCCAGCACCACCTCCCAGAGGAGCAGCCTGATCAGAGTCCAGCTATAACCCCAGAAACAGAGGCTGGGGGGCAGAAATCCATCCCCAGGCAACAGAAGCACAGACCAGCAGCTGAGATCCATCTCAAAATCTACAGCAAAAACTGAGCAGGAGTTGAGCACCACCGGGCAGCAGCACTTCCCAGCCACCAGCAGCAAGACCTGGGGCTCCACAGAGGCCTGTGCAGTCAAGTAGCTCACAAGTGCAGTGGGAAGCCCAAGCCCTAGAGAGACTGGTATGATCCAGCGGCCTGCCCATGGGAACTGCAGGGTGCAGGGGCACCAGAGAGGCCTGTGCAACTCAGCAGGGACTGTGTGATCCAGTTACCCACAGGTCCTCTGGGGTGCTGAAGCACCAGAGAGGCCCCTGCAACACAGCAGGCACGGTGCCATCCAATTACATGTGGGACCTGCGGGGTGCTGAAGCATCAGAGAGGCCTGTGCCACTCAGCAGCCCATAAAATAGGCATAGAGCCGGGTCCCCAGAGGGACTGTGCGATCCAGTTACCCACGGGACCTGCGGGATGCGGGGGACACCAGAAAGACCTGTGCTACCCAGCTGCACACAAGATAGGCTTAGAGGATGTGAAAAAAGAGGCGGAGTGAATAGAAGCCACGCAGATGATCTCCCAGGACCAAAGGGGAGTTACAACTAAAGTAAAGACAAATCCTGGAGGAAAAAGCAACAGAAAAGCAGCAGGACAGGACCGGTAGGATCTGCGGAGACGTGAGAGGGTGGCGGGCTGGGAGCCCACTGACAGCAGCAGTCTTAGCTGTGAGCAGTGCCCTTGAGGAATGAAGACCAAGCCTGCTCCACAGCCCAGAGAGCCTGTACAGAGCGCTAAACTAGCCACAGCCACTCACCTGGGGGCTGGGGCACAGGGAGAGCATACTGGGCTGGAACTCTGTGGGGATACCCGGGATTTGGAGGACACTCAGAGTTATTGCTGAGTCATGGCCACAAAAGATGGTGGCCAGTGTGCTCCTTCCCAGAGCTGTGGGGAAAAGCAGCAGCCCACCCCCACCCCCAGAGATTCAGCCTTTCCCAGGTGAGGCAAAGGAATAAAGATTGAGGCTCATTAACAACCAGCATCTATCCCACCCTCTGGAAATACTCTTAGGCAGAACACCAGGGCTACATTCCAAGGCACTGAGTAACTGAGATTACTAGCCACCAGGAAAAAGCTAGAGGATAACTGAACCTTTCCTGGGCTTGCAAATCTACCCAGGAAAGTAAGACTTGACAGTGGTGTTTAACGTGGGCCCACCCAGGCTCATCCAAACCCAGTAGAGGGAGCCACAAACAGCAGAACACCAACACCCACAGGGAAAATTTGGCAGCCTCCAAAACCTACTGAGATAGCCATTGGGTATGTAAGATCTGGCAAATAGTGGTCACCTATCCACGGAATAAGTGAGTCAAAGAAATGGAAGAAAGGGAAAGAGGTCAATAGTTTTCATCCCCCTAGAAAGGGACTGGTTATTTTTCCCTAATTCTGTCCCAAGTAATAGCCTTGTTCACCAAAAATATTTACGTAGGCCCCCATTTGATTTCTTCTGGATCAGTTGTGAAGAGAATTTTAATTTTCTAAATGTTCTTTAATCTATGCTAGACAGCCTGCAAAATTCAGAGAAAAGTTGAACACTTATGACTGAAAAAAAATCCATAAATATATATAAATGGGGTTAAAACAATTCATTGAGACCACAAGTTTAAAACAATCAAGTATGTATTAATACACAACACAATAGTTAAAATGTGCTTTTCAAACTAGTATAATAGAGTCTTAATTTCCTTTAAAAATTCATGTTAATTAATACTCTTTGGGCTATGTTTAAAT